AGGCATGCATAATAGTTGATATGCTTTTTTTTTTTTACAAAAAAATATATATATATTCACTACTGTTCTTTATTTGAGAGTGGTCAGACAGGACAGTGGGAAATGAAATATTGTATAATTCAGTCTATCAGAAGTTCTCCTATATGTTCTTCTCTATCTGCTTCTTGTTTGTCCAATACTATCGACTTTTAAGGATATTTCCCATCATTGCTTTGTGGATGACATCCAGTTCCAAATTAAGTTTTGAAACTACACATTTTACAAATATGTTAGGATTCTCTTAAAAGCTGGATGAGTGAAAGATTTTATTTTTCAGTTGAATGAATTAAAAACTGTCGTATGTTTGAAACACTGTATATTTTTCACTATGGTTTCTAAAGCACTTTGTATTTTTTTATCTTGAAAGGTTCTTTATAAATAAGATTTTACTTACTGAATTAGTTACTCCTGTCCATCAGAACTACTTAGACCTCTTGTGTTTACTGGCATCATTAGGACACCTTTACTTGTCAAAAATTCAACTGGATCACTTCTGTTCTGAGTTATTTAGAAGATAAAACAAGATGTTTATCAGGCCTTAAGTTCACTTACGACCATCGATTTGATGGTCTCTTATCTCAAGGAAGATGTTTAAATGCTAATTAGATTTGATCACTTAAAGTTGCTCCTCAACCACTAGATACTCTATGTGGTCCGATGGATTGTTTCTCCACCCCTCTGTTCTGAATTATTTTAGCATCCACCTTTTACTGTTTCACCTCAATTTATTTCTTATTGTTTTATCTTAGTCTCAGTATGTTTTTCATTTTGTCCTTTATTTCTGTCTGACTGGTGATGATATACTCTACAACCTTTTTTTTGCAGAGCTGAAATATACTTTTTCCCCAATGTGCAAAAAATGATAATAATTATATATATATTAACACGATTTCTGGAGCATGTTCAACAGTTATTGATGGTTATTAAAAATGAACTAAAATTCTCAGAATTAATAGAAAAACCCTATTTTTATTTGAACACATTTATGAAAAAAAGTCCTCCTCATGGAAAAAAAATTAGAAACAGTTGTTTTTAATTATATCACTGTTGCCAAACTTTGCCTAACGATTCCTAAAATATAAATGTAACTGAACTTTCTTTGTGTTGTGTTTAAGTTCGGTCACTTTGTGGAGGAACTTTTTATCAGCATCCGTGACATCTTGTTTGTCATTATTTAAATAGGAAAGACTCAATAACATGCAATGCAGGTAAGAGACTTTGTTTTGAGTTTCAAGTCACAAAATGACTGCAAGAAAATACCAAACCATATTAATTCGAGAATGAAGTCAACAAAGAACAAGTATTGAAGGTCTCTCTCTGTGTGCTCTGACCTTGTGTATTGTTACAGGAGAAAACTATTTTTTTACCTCTGTATTTTACCCTCTGCTGGATCTATGTCTTCATACTAAACACTAGATGTTTTAATATTTTTATGCATGATTACTTTGTGCAATGAAAAATAATAATTCCTTCCTTACGGTCTTTACTTGTTTCCATAAGGAAGGAATTGGCACCCACTTGTTTTTACAAGTGAGTGTCAATACATGTAGAGGTCACTGTATGCTTTCCAGAAAGACAGCAAAGGAGAAACGCATGAATCATACCTCTCAGAATAGGTGAAGGGGTGTTCTCTTGTTCGTTTGAATAAAAGTGAGCGGTCCAATGATGTGTGAAAAAGAAGCTGCAATTTGTCCTCGCTCACCATCCCTGTGTAGGATATCAAATGCACACTGAAAAGGTAGCAATACACAAATGTAACCACACAGAAGCAAACAGTAGCCGAGAATTCACCACTATGCCCCGAGAGGAGAACAGCACTCCAATATTCTCGTCCCATTTGTCTCAATCGGCCTGCTGTCTGGGCGGTCAGTCTTAGGGGCCTCAATGGGAATACAGAATAGAGTGCAGCTTTTTACACTTACTCAGCCTGGTTGTGTTCAGTATCCCTGTGACCTTTGTGACCTTGCTCCCTGAACTAGATACAACACATCATTTACTGGACTTCAGCATCACTTTCGGAAAATTCATACACACCACAAAACGAGAACAGCCTTTGCCGTTACACGAACAATGTGAGTAGAGGTGGATTTGCTGGATTCATCTTTCATTGAACAGGTTCTTCACTTCTTTAGCTCTTTACTGTAATGACTCAGATGTTCAGTTAGTAAGCAAGGGAAATCTTAAAACGAGTTTTGGCAATTCAGGTTTAGGTACATGTAGCATTGAAAGTAATAATACCTATAATGCAAAGGGAATTTATGCAGTGTCCAGTTTATCAGGCTGCCTCAAATTATCCTGTATTTATTGTAGGCTCTGACTTTCTCAGCGGAAAGCAGTTCATGCTGCCTGTTATCGACCCATTAATTGGAAAGTGGCCCATTGTAGTGAAAGGGCTGGGTGGTATGGTCAGACAGGAAGAGATGGAGGCTTAAGATCACCCAGAACTCTTAATTGGCAGGAAAGAGGTTTCCATGAAGTGGTGTAATGTGTTTTTTATTGGCTTGTGTGCAGTGAACGGCATGGTACTTTAAGTAGAGGCATGTTTTTTTGTCTGTTAAGAGAAACTACAGGTGTGAATAGCATTCATTGAGACTACATGTTTGGATTCAAATCAACTGTAACTGTGGACTATTTTATTCAGTTCTCAAAAATGTTTATTTTTTCCTGTTGTGATGAAGAAATCACAGCATAGCAATAGCAAAAATCATTTTTGAGTAATGCTCTTTTTACGTAGCAGAATTGTTTGAAACATATGTCCAAGGTTAGTTGTACAGTCAAAATAAGTACAGATGGGACACATCAGTGGAAAAAGATTTTAATCTTCCCTTTTCTTTCTTTCCAATTTTATTTCAATTTATTTCATTAAATTTTTTTTTTAAACTCTTTTCAGCCGCTCTTATCACTTCATTGCAAAACGATTTCAAACATTCCTTCTTCTCTTGCTTTATGGTCAGATTCCAGTCTTTGATATATTCCGTGGGTGTTTTCTTTTAACATTGGCAAAGGCTGAAGTGGAATAAAATGTTGAGGAGATAAAGGTGTTTGCAAAAGCATGGAAGGTCAGAGTACTGAGGTGGCCTGTCTGACCTTCACACACCCTTTTTTCATACTGAGCCACTGCAGCGCACCGATGACATTGAAATACTCTATCGACCGTGAGTCAAGCTGTGCATGTGAAAAAGCCTGGCACAACGACGCATTACTCACCAAACATGACATTTCGCCGCTATGAATTCTAGACAGAGAGTTGTGCACAACATAGTGTAATTATTTGTGTTGCTGTGATGAATGCAGCTACAAGAGCATGAAAGCATTTTCTCTTTAAGACATTTTCTTCAATCATTCCTACCTCTACACAAGAGGAAATTGATTATTCCCTTGCAATAATCAGAGCTAAAATATGCTGGTTAAAAAAAATGTTTTCATAAAAAAAGATCCTACATCTTTTGATAATGGGCCTATATTTTTGGCAAATGCCAGTAAGCACACTGCAGTGTTTTTAACCTTTTAACTCCTTAACATGATTAAAAACTCCAATACATTGTGGCTTGGTATAATTACTAAGCCAGTGAGACACACTGGGGGTAAGATAGAGTGCTTCGTTGCCGATGTGATTGATCCACTCCGTAAGGCGGTGCTCGTACTGTTCCAAAGATTAGGCATTTGTGCCATTTATGCAGAGTGCCTTGTACCAGAATTACATTACAGTTCTGCACTTTGTCACATATCAAAATGTTTCCTAATGTGACTGTACAGAACATGTAAAGTCTTTTCCTCATTATCTGACATCAAAATCAGACTGAAGTTTTATTATTGTGTTAATCATTTCCCTTGGCTATATACTATTGATAACAATGATAATCTACTGTAATATTTAAAGCTCTTACCACATTTGTTAGTTCAAACAATTATGTCCAAATATAATCAGATATTCTGCTATCATATTGCTCAAGAAGGAGATACTTTCTTTGTGTAGTAAAATGTACATATCAACTAAAGAAATAAGCCTGGATAAAAAAATAAGCCATGACCAAGTTGGGGACAAAAACCTTAATGTTTAGAGACAATGAAATCTAGAGTAAAGTGTTTGGCCAATTTTGGAAACAATAGCTTTATATGTTAACATATCTTTTAAGACGTTAAAGCAAAAGTGGATTTTCAAAACGAAGAATTACCCTAAACATACCACCAGCTTATTTAGAAAGTGGCTTAACAGAATGACCATCACAAATTGCTGGTCTGAGTTACAGATAGTGTGTTTCCATTGAAAGAACTTTAATTCGTTTGATTTGTTTTGAACACAACTTGAATATTTCTAGGTATTCTCTGTGTTCTTATAACAGCGTAAAGCTCTATCTGACATTCCCACCCGATTCCTCATCATCCATCTTCTCGTGATCACAACTAGTCGACATGAAACGTAAGAAAGTCATTGCAGATCTAAGAATGGACTGTGTAATAGTCAAATATTTGTCCCTACTATACAAAGTCTTTTTATTTTCTAATATACTCGTGAGTGAAGAATGAGAAAGAATATGTTGCATTTAAGAGAGTTAGTTGTTCTCTAACAGAAACAAGGCTGAAATTACATTCTTATTCCTGTACAATTTGTACTGTAATTTAGCTAAAAGATGTCTAGCCAACGGCTCGACACCACAATTACAAAGATTTCTATTTTCATCAAGACAATTGTCCTTGGAGTCATTGATTATCTGATGTCTGCCAGACCTGATGTTTAACTGTGTGGTTTACTCTCGAATGGCTAATTATGCCGTTTCATACGGTTAGTGAAATGTTTAAACCTTGGCAAAGCAAAGTGCACGCTTTCATTTCCTTTCAACTAATCTGTCCTGCACCTCACAGTTCTGCATAATTAATTGTATGTCTTTGGAATTCTTGTTTTTACAACAGAAAATGTTTCTCATTCTAACACTGCATACTTTATTCTCACTTTTCCACAGACAGACAATTTCCCCACTGAACCTAATTATATGGGTAGCAGACAACAGTTTGTTCAAAGGTAAGAACTGGAATCTATAATGTAACTCTTTTCAAGTCATTACTGGTTACCAAAAAGTTTTATCTAAAAGTGGTCATACTGATGTATCCAGATCTACTGTTTTTCTTTTTTTTGTTGTTGTTGTTGTTGTTGTTTTGTTTAGTAGTTCAACATTCAAAGACCCAGAGCGAGCCAGCCTCAGAGACAGCGGCCATGGTGACAGCGACCAGGCTGACAGCGACCAGGACACCAACAAAGGCTCCTGCTGTGATATGTCTGCAAAAGAAGCTCTCAAACTGAAGGCTGCAGGTGTGAAACCACCACCTTTGGAACAAGGTGAGCCGTCCCTGGCAAATCTAAGCAGACAGGAGAAGAAACTGCCAAAATAATACAATTAAACACATATTTCTTTTGTTCTTGCCTAAACACTCCTTGTATGAAATCGCATTGGTCTCCTTTATCCACTCCCCTCTTTTTTCACTGCACTCTGCATACAGTATGGACTGGAGGGTGTGACTATGTGTGCATGCTACACACGTCCTCAGTTTATCAAAGCAGACAAGCCCATTATGTTTTTATAAGCTCAACTACTTCTGCTTCTGCATTTAGTCCTCTTTCTCTGAGCTCCCATCTCTGAAACTTTGATAATGGAACATGGAAAATGACTTAGCGAGCGGCAGGCGATGTAGCCTTGTAGTTTGGTGATTAAATATGAATAATTATTCTAAGCACTGTGGGTCGGGCAGATTACATATGACATGTGTAGAACAATAACTCCCCAGATATGAGTTGTTGCAGTCACCCCCCGCAACCTCGCATGATTAGTGCATGGTCACAGAGAGGCAAGAAATTTAAGATTATGCATAGAGTAGAAAGAGAGAGGAAATGGGAAAGGAGATACAGTGAATTTCTCTCAGCAGCTTTAACCGGAGATTTGCTTTGGTGCGCACAATTACCCGCTTAACATAATGGAAATACTCCGGGAAACACAAATTTGCTAAAACATCTACACTAAAAAAGTTTTTATCTTGCTGACAGGATCCTGAAGAATGGTCTTGTGTACTGAACATGGATTCTCTGTAATGGTGCTATTAATCCTGGGAACAGAAGGGCTGCTTTACTCCGTACGGAAGGACAATGAAAATTTGAGCAACACTCTGTGCTGCAATATGCGAGTCTGACAAGATAGCATTTTTTTCCTTTTCATTGATTTTAGAATTAAAAAAAGCCACACATGTTGGCAAGAGAAATTGGCCAATTAAAAAGCTCCATATGTTTCTCATTTTGAAAATGTTCTCATTTAATTGTCCATGAGGGACCAAAGGATCACATTCATAAACACGAAAGCACGTGACTAAAGACTAAGTATGCAATTTTAGGTATTTGGTAGCTGTTTGATCTCTGGTAGATGCAGCATGTTTATACACTTCTCTGTGTGAGGTCTTAGAGCAGTACAATTTAGTTCTTGAACAAAACAAAATGTGCTCACACGCCTACATGTGCACGCACTCACACACATGCACTCACAGACCACAAGTCCGGAGGTGACGGTAACTTATTGAGGGTGTAATCTGTGTTTACGGTTTTTTTCCCCCTCCTCCATGAGTCTCGTTCCACTTCTCCCCCTCTCCTTGTTTGGGGTAATCGACTGATGTGAGATTAGACAGTTAACCGACAGCAGCCGGCTGTGTTTTGCCAATAACATAGGGGTTTAGCTAAGCTGTGGGGGAGAGAAGAGGCTGTGGGCCAATGCTGAAGTTACTCTGGTACTACACTAGCATATCTTTATCAACTTTCAAAACCACTCGTTGAATGCTCAATGATGTTATCTTAAAGAAAAATAAATATCATCATATGTTCTGTAATCAAGCTACATCTTGTAGAGAAAGAAAATTAGACTTTTCCATGTAGTAATTTGTAGTATGATCACTTAAAAAAAGTTTAATGCACTGGGATTTGTTTAACCCACATGAGATAAACCCACACAAGTGTGGATACAGCATATTGTTCATGAAACAATGGTCCAGTTTGTTTCCTCAGATGAAAACAGGTTAAAAAAAAGCTTGACACTGGTCAGTGTCCCTGAGGTTCCTGAGGTTGTTTTCTTACAGGGTTTTTCTATACATCTAATCACTTAGTGTATAGTCCATGGGTCTTTCTTTACAGCTGCCTCCCCCCACTTTTCCCACTCCCAACTTTCATCCTTTATCCCATCTTAAGACTAGTTTCCCTCTAAGCGTAGTCCTCTCAATTACTCTGTAGCTCTCTTTGCTTTTCCGTCAGAACACTGTGGCCTCTTTCACTGGTTCAGAATAAACAGGACTCGCAGTGCACAGAGCATGTAGTTCAAGTCCCAATTAATCTCCACCTCAGTCTCAGTTTTTATCCTTAAAGAAACCAAGTTTTTCTTTATTTTCACCTTAATTTTACCATCCTGGTTAGGTTTTTCTTTTAATATCTGGATTTGTGCTGCCCTCCAGTAAAAGTAGGTTGAGTTCAACAATCTCCCTCCCTTATAGAATAGGTTTCTTCTAGACAACATAATCTAGATATCTTAGCACTGCAGCACAGTCTCAAATTGATTAATTAGTCTCGCAAAATTGGTTGCAATGTATTAATTAAGCTTAAGTATATCAAATGCATTTTTGCCAGTTTTAAACAGCGATTAATTGATGCTCCAGCGCGCCTGCAGCAGACATTAATACGGTCTTGTCTGGCTCGCCGGAGAGGTTGGCAGCACATCGCTCGCCTCTGTGGAGATGACTGCCACAGTCGCTATCATGAACAGACAGTCGGCACTGGTGTTGGGAGATGTTACCCACTGATAGGGCTGTCCGAGCAAATGGAGAGGGAGCAAGAAGAACAGCGGGCGATGAGGGCGGGGGGTTGGAGCACAGAGAGGAACGGACAGTGTTTGAGTGCACCACCTGACCTTTCCTAATTATCTGCAACTGGATTATGATAATCAAACAGCCTCCTGCTTTGTTTCAGAAAAGGGAGGGATGAGTGGGACAGGGAGGGCATGGGGGTGTGGGAGGATAATGTGATACTACAAGGACAGTGTGGATACTGTGAGGAGACAGCATGAGATGTGTTCCTATGACAGCACTGTGGAAGGTGATGAAATTGAGTTTCTCAGTTATTTGTGGCTTGGTAATAGAAATATCCACCTGCACATTTTCCACCAGCTTTTGAATTGATTAAGTAGGGGAAATGCCATGATTGGTCAGTTGTTCTCACACACACAAATGCTCCCTTACAGTGATGTCTATGAACACACACACAGACACACATGCACATATAATGTAATTCATAAAAAAGATAATGGTGATGGCATTATATTCAGCTCTTACTTGCAGAATGAACCTCTAAATTGAAGTTATATAAAAATGTACAGTTCTATTTATTTCTGTGTTAAAAGATTAAACACACATTTTTGCAATGTGTTTTTAATGTTTTATAGAATACTTCATTGCTTTATGCGCAAACTTAAAGCTATACAAAAATAAAATCAGACATTTTATCTCTGATGGATCCTATAGGCAGTGTCTTGTGCTTTCTTTTGAATCTGAGCTGTAATTGCAAAAGATGGATTTTAAGAAAACAACATAATACTGAGCTGGCAATATTTCATATCAATGTACTTCTGCGGGTGATGTGTGAATTTCCATTTATCCCTTTACACATCAGTGTTTCTAATTTTATCAGTAGCATTTTCAGCTGAATGTAGTAGCCCAAAGCAACAAGCGCAGCAGAAAAGTTAGCAGCCTATCAAAGAGGATTTCACACAGTGGATTTTCCAGACCTTATTGTGGTATTAGGATGTTTTCAAGCTAAAGAAGGGCTCAACTCTGTGTTCTTCTGAAAAACTATGAATAAAATTGAGTCCACATAATTGACTGTGCTTAATTAAACATTTTCTCTTTTAGTCATTGCAAAGACAAAGTAAAAGAAATATTCTGACTTAAATTCATCTAAAATATTAATCCCATCTTCCCTTGAGGCAACTTAATCTTAAGACATTAGCACTACAGTACCTTTCCTGAATCCTCACCATCTCAGTCTTCCTTTTTTTTTATGTTCAAAGCAATTAATTTTGAATTATAGGTGAACCTTTGATTAAAAAAAATGTGGTTGCAAGATTAATTGACTGGTCAGAAGTCAAATCTGATGCCCTTTTCAACCATGTAGCCATGACAACTCCTTTCCTACTCACCATGGCCTTTAATAAACCTTTATCTGACTGTTGGAAAAGTGGATTCCATTGAATATCATTCATATTTCATGGTCAGATAGAGCATTTGTTGTACGAATGCTTTTGGATCTGTATTAAAATTATTGCCATGTGCCATTTTGACACGTAAAGCCTTCAGGACAGTACACATTACAGTAGTGGGTGAAATCAATAATGCATACTATTTTGATGTGTTTATGTTGAGAACTGCTCTTAATGGGCTCATAGAAAATGCTTTCGTTTGGGCTCACCAGTCATACCAACTCAAAGAAAATTGAGTGCAAATTTTACACGGCTATTTTCAGCTCTTTCTTGCAGAATTAACCTCTAAATTGCAGTTATATAAAAATGTACAGTTCTGTTTATTTATGTGTTAACAGATTAAACACATTTTATGTGCAGGTGGATATTTCTATTACCACGCCTTCATTAGAGAAGTATCTGTGTTTTTGTATTTACATAAACATTGTCAGCTGCTCCATTTGAGATTTGTCAATAATGGTTTGATTTTATCAAACAAGTTCTTATCGTTCCAATTTACTTAATCTGGATTCCCTTTTAGGGAAAAAGTGTGGTTCATAGTGAATGTTTTGTCGAGAGAGTGGAAGAGAGAGGCAAGCTGAAAAGGAACAGGGGAAAAAACAGTTCAGACGCTGCACAAGTGAATTCTGAAGACAACAAATGAACAAAGCAACACGCAATCTGGCTGCTGAATGACAGGCTGCTTGAAGACGCACATCTTCTGAAACACTTCCAGTAAGCTTTGAATCCAAAGTGGCGTGATCGAACCATGGCGGCACCAGGATGTGACTCAGTCATATCATCCGGACAGGGAGGCTGACTTTTTGACATTTACTCATCTGATGAAAACTTGAAAGCAACAGTTGCCTCTCTTGTGAGGGTCCCTAAAGTGACGGCTCACTGACACATAATAATTCCTTTCTTATTGCAGTTATTACATCCATCATATATTTCATGATTTTATTCAATATATGTGACACTGTGATCCATCACATTCAAGTTTTTTTCTTTTTTTTTTTTTTGCATTTTGTTAAAGAAAACCCATTGATAGATAGAAACTTCAGGGGAAAGATTCATGATT